TCACATGGGCATAATTTGTTACCGTGCTTTAAAAATAAACTTTTTCCCCCTCAAGGAACAGTCAGTTCTTTTGCCATCCTTTATTTCTCCCTATTATCTTGCCCAAAGTCCTACTAGTTTCCTAAAGCTGTGACGTTGGATAAGTCCCTTACCCTTGCTCTCCTGTTCTTACTCCTTCCTCTTTTTCAAATAACGAATGCTACCATTTCATGGTCACTTTCACACAAATTATTTTCTGACTTCATATTCCTAATCCATTCTTTCTTAGCTATAATCAGAGCTGAACTGACTGCTGTCTTAACTTTTTCCAAGATGCAGGTATAACACTGTCAATTAGGGGAAATCGCCAAGTCTTGTCCACGTCCCATCATGACTTTTTCAGCTACTAAGATGATTACAGTTCTCCATGAATACCAACTCTTGTCCTTTGGGCACTTCTACACACGCACAAAAGCCTTCTCCACAGTATCCATCTTTTGCTATTTCCCCACAGATAGGCCACAAATCTTCCCCTCACCTTTCCTCAGCTTCAGAGTAAGCATGTATAGTTTGGACAAGCAACACTAGATGTCCTCCCTTCATCCATAACTGTCCTCCATGAAAAGGTATCCCCTAACCAGTAGTCTTGCGCTTTGTCCCACCACGTCTAATGCATTTCAATTAAGCTTGTGAATACTGACGGCTGTTGAAAAAGAAATGAAAGGGGGTGTCCGATAACGGTGAAACACATCGCTTACCCATCAAATTCAGTACCCCTTCCATTGTTCAGTGAAGAACAGTTGATTTTTTTTTTTAAACTGGTTTATGTATAAAAACAATGAAAGTTTAGAAATTTGGAATTAAAATTAAATATACCAGTGCACATCAGTACAAAATCCAGATGTGTTTTGTATCAGTATAAAATACTGTGTTGAACTTGAATGATTTTTTCAGTCAGAACTCCATTTTTGCAGAACGTCTTCCTTATCTTTCTCTCAATTTGGAATGGAAAAAATTTCAAAACCATGACATTTCCCACAAAAATCAGAAACAGTGTCTAATTCTATTTATAGCCCCAGACCTACTACAGCTGGTAATAAAAAAAAAGCGGACAAACTCCTAGAGCATTGCTCACAGTGCAACTATATACAGTTTCAAGCGCTGTTCTTCTGCCTCTCCCATAGATCTACGCTCTGGGCACTGCACAGCATTTTCTGTGAACGTGCAAAAAGAGGGAAGAGGAGAATGAAGAACGTCAGGAGGAACAAACAGATGCTTGATGTCACACACCAAAAGGAAAGAAATGCAAGTAGAGAAAAATCAAACTAGAAAAGGAAAACAGGAAAAGAAATACACACACACACACACAAAAGGAGGATATCTACAACTGCAGCAGAGTGATGCCACACGGAGAAACAGCACGCATCTCCCAGAGTTGGTAGGCAGCGTCATTAAAACTTAAAGGCGTAACTGACAAAGACATAAAGAGAGCACCACATGCATTCTAACACATCTTCTTTAGGGTCAAATTTGGTTATCTTTGCTGACTTCCAGCACAGTCAATGGTAATCCAAGGTTTTGGCAATTGTTAAGATAAAGCTAGGTATGGAGTAGTCATTGTTCTCAGGAGACGTTTGCTTTTTTTGCAAGGTTTCACACAAAATCACAAATATTCCAGCTTTTGAAAGCTTGGCCTACTTGGCCTATTTAACTCAAAATTCAGGTGAAACTGCTATCCAAATGAATACAAGGACCATGATTTAGTATTTCTGGATAAACAAAAGGGAAGTAGAAGATTAAAGGGGGAGTGTGCATAGATATATGTTTTATCTTTTTACTCCTCCAAATCCCACTATTTTTGGCAGATTCGCCAGTTTAGAACATAAAACGTCTGACATGAGAAAACTAGACATACCTTACAAATATGCTTTTTAAAACACTAGGAGTTTTTTTTTTTTTTTTTACGACATATTGTAAGATGAGGGGAAAGTCAAATCATGACTTCAGGGAGGACACAGGACGACATGCTATCGCCTGCTGAGAATCATCCTTCTGTATTCTCTCCTACCCTGACAAACTCGCCACTGTAACGTTCCAGCCTCACCCAAGGGATCACCTCCCAGGGCACGAGCCTTCTTCTACTGACAACTGAGTCCTTGCGTCGTCGGTGGCATCCAGTCTGATTAGATGCCTCAGCAGAGCGACTCGGGCCACCGGAAACCATTCCTACGTAGGATCTTAACGGTAGCAACTGGGGGTCACTTCTGAGATTCCCCATCTGTTTATTAGCAGCACAGCAAACTTACCGGCTGTATGGTTCTAAGACGGCTCATCACAAGCTTGGTGGGGTTCATTATTTAATAAATTTAAAGTGATACATTAGTTCTAACTCTGAAATTTAACTTCTATCCTGGAGTATGGGACAGAGAAACAATAAAGAAAAAAAATCAAAAATCTAGACACGTATTCAGTTATCATTCCAGAGAGATTGAAATAGACTTATTTCCAGTAAGACTTAATAATAAACCGCTCGGAGAAATAATACCGTGCTGCATTTTCATTCTTACTATAGCAAAATAAGTGCAAGGCTCAAGTCTTCACTGCCTTGAAGATGAGAGGTGTGCAGCCTGTGAGCGGGTGCTCACGCTCAGCACGCACAGTGGCATATCCTGTGCCTTATGTGGTCTACTGGGTAGAGAATAGCATGGTGCATAGCGTATAGATCCATATAGGGGAACAGGTCTATTCTGTACCCATATAGGCCCCACACGGAGTCTTGAGGTGGGAAATGCCAACACAGTTTCTACAATCCTACGCTCTTCAAACAAAGAGCGTAAATGGAAATACTGCCACTGTGCTCTGAGTATGGGACTTGCTTCTTACTACTGTCCTTTTGGTTCCATTAGCCCTATCTCTCTCCTTCCTTTCACAGGACTTGCTAAATCACACAGACCAAATGGTGAGCAGGAAAGTGAAGGATCCTGAACCTCTCTCAATCTGCCTGGAAGGAGAAAAAGCAGAGGCTCACTATTTGGCACCTTTACTTGACTGTCAATAAGAATGACAGTGCTAGGAGGTTATTAAAAGTTAATTCCATTCCGCAAATCGTAGCCACGCATCAACACTCAGTCAGAGAACGGCTTATTTTCCGTCACGTACCCGTGCAGTCCTCACTGATACCAAACGGAAAAAGGCATATGGACTGAGGATTACCAGTTTGCCTAACTGCTGGCACAGGTGCCTACACAATATTAAATAATAAGCAAGCCCTAAGGAATCTATCATTCTGTAGATAAATTCCACGTGGATGTTCAAAGAATCATCCTTCCACGGCATCTCTGAGCAAATCAAGACCTAGGCTTTCCTATCAAAACGAACAATCAAGACATTTCCTCCTCTTGTAGCCTGCACAGTCTTTCTCCGGCATTTCATGAATTCGAAAAGTTTTTGTAATTGTCTATTTGAATTCAACGGCTTTTGGGGATATTTCTAAGTTTGTGCATTGATACTTATCAATAAAGAATATTTATGCGAGTGTTGTACCTGTAGTAGCAAGTCTCCCAGACTTTTTGAGGTCGTATGGAAAATCTAATTTTTTCTTGTCTTGTGAAGAATTAATTTATACTTTATGTTCACATTTTGTTATCATAGCTTCCCTACCCGGTCTCTAGTAACAGCGAAAGGGGAAAAAAAATTTCTCAAAGTTTAAGAGCAAACTAGACACCTTTTCTGATGCGTATATGTACGTATGAATATGTTTGTGCACGAGCACCGAAGATTTTTATTTGGGACGTTTCAGATTCAGGCTTCACAAAGTGAATTTTAACATCTGAACAATAACAGCAGCAGCAACAAATCCACAAACAGTCCTTCTCCATAAATGTTTAGGGCAATATGCCCTGTATTATCTTTATATGACTATAAATATTGACTCTCTGGGCATACTGCTCGTATTTTACGGTGGGCCATTACTGCAGCTGACAAATCAGGAGGTGCGTGAATGTAACAAGGACCAGAAAGGATTTTCTTATAAAATCTTCATAAGCAGAGATTTCACTGCCTTTCTCTACCCTTCTATTTAATTGCAGAGCCTTTCTAATGCCGCACAATGCAATTTATAGTTATTATTAAAAACAGTCTATCCAACACGATGAGCTAGGTGTAAAGAAAGCAATGAATTGGTTATTAAATTAGAGGCTGTGTGTTTAAAATATAAACATGAAACAGTGAATATGGTTCGGTCTTTTTAATTTACATTTCACTATCTTTTAACAAATCATTATTAAAAATAGAACTATACAAAATAGTGCAATTCATCCTGAACAACAAGTGCCTTGTAAATCCTTATGTATGGTACAACATTTCAAGCTTTCCCTGGCTCTTTGAATATGAGTCGCACTGATTCCCAACAGGGCATCTCAGTACTACGGTAAAATAAATAATCAGTAATAGCAGGAGAGGATACCATTTGCTGCAGAAAGGAAATCTCACATTTTAAATCCAGGCTAACCTGGATCTTGGCCCAAACACCAACACAATTCTGCACTAAAAAAAACTTGCATCATGTAAACGCCTCTTCTAACAAGCTAAGCCTACAAGTAGCCTCAGTGTTCTTTGCTGTCACTAACAGTATCCGAGCGCAGGCTTTCACAGCAGTGAAGGGCGAGATTCCAGCATATATGTGCACGCATTTATTCCAGATCTCTTTTGAGATATTCTCTTCTTACTAAGCAACTAACAGGATAGGGTCAACAGTGAAGTGGAAAAAAGCAGAGTCTCTCAGCTGCTAGCATGTACGCTGGAAGCTTTACTTTGACCTTTGGTATTCAGCCCATGCCAACTTAAATGAGACAAACGAGCAGTGATGCCACACAGTTTGCATTTTGTACCATTCAAGCAGCAAAGATGGTAAGTTCGGTGTATCAAATGGTTTGGTTAAGTTTGGTGTATCAAAACACAGGAAACAAAAGATGGCGATGAGTGAAGGAACCAAGCTATCTTGCCTCTTTTGGCTTTCTTACCTCATTTACATAGACCCAGTGACTATCCTTTGAAGCAAGGTTGGTTTCCACAGCCTACAAAAATAAAAAAAAAAAAAATAAAATAAAATAGGTGAAATACATTCGAGAGACAACTTACATTAAGAAGGTACTACTATAAAGGCCATTTTGATTGCTTTCAGTTGCTACTGGCTTTGTTTCAGTAAAGCTCTTTTAATCTATTCCATTGCTACTTGATGGAAAGGTGTTTTATTGGTCGCAGTCACATTTCTCTGACTTTAGTATCTAAACCAAAGTACCCTGTACCATGACGATACTCTGTGGACGCACCACGAAGGCAACGCGGCACTACATCAACATGATAAGGGATCCTATGATGCACGGCTGCAGGCACAAGACAACGTCTTTCCCGTGGTACGTAAGATTTAACTCCCACGGGACGATACTTCTAAAGGATCCTGGTCAGTAGGGTTCGTTTCCAACATGTCTCAAAATATACTTCTATACCTCTGTCTTATTACAACTCTGATAGCTAGTTAGCCTGTCTAATGAAAAATACCACTGAGACACTCAAGAGAAGTTCGTATGAGTCATCCTCTCTTGCGACTTACGTAAGACCCAGGAAAATATTATGATTTGCATGGACCTCTTTGCTCGCTTCCTCGTACGGACCTGGATGATTATTACACGTTATATAATAAACGGCACTTCTCATCAGACAGCATATTTATCAGTACACGTATAATCCTCATGCTTTGTGAGGATATTAAAACTGGAGAAGACCACTAGCACAGTCAGCAATACTAGCAACAAGGACCTTATTGGAAGGATTTGGCAACAAACGTGCACGTTTCCAGCTGTCTGCTGGGGCTGAGGTGGATAAGCTCACTTCAAGAGATTTTATAGCCCAATAAAGAGGTACGGAGCATCAACAGGCGCACGCTATAGTCATAATAGTGGCAATGTTCTACTTAACACCTAGTTAAACAGTTATTGTATGTTCACCTCACCTAATAAAACCGGTGAGTCCCAGGGGCACATATCTTAGGAGGCAGCTCACTGCACAGAGCCAGTTTCCTATGTTCCTGCCTTCAGCTACTTCCATCTGCTGTGACAGTATGGCCCCACTTACTGAACAGATATAACTAATCATCACTGAAGTCAACCTGCTTATTTTTTAATCTGGATAATTTCAGCACCCTGCTCACTGTGCGCGGCCTCACAAACGGTTGCAGGGGTGCAGAGTGGCTATGTGGGCTGCACCACTGTGCTGGGCAGAAACAGTGTCAACCAGCTTTGCCTCCAGACCACGACGGTATAATAAGCGTCTCAGATATTTAGCTTCAGATAAGATGAATCACCTTCTCTCTGACTACAAATGACTACGTTAGAATAAATGCCCACAACTCATACAGCTGAAGCGAAATGACATTATATCCATCCCTAACATAGGCAAAGGCAGTAGTTACCTGGTCTGCCCCACCCTCCCTCTCCTCCTCCCTCCCCCCCCAAAAAAGGAAAAGGAGATTTAAAATTGGCTTAGTAGTCAACACCATTTTAACACAGCTCTTTGTTTATACTCAGTGTTGAAAAACATGTTAATAACTTGCCTAAGTTACTGTGTTTAAAAGCACTATTCATTTGCCTATGCTATACAAACCTGAGGTAACTACTGGCAATACCCATACCTCGATCTATTTCTCATTGTGTCTATACCTGAGTACAGACAATGAGAAATTTACAATGGTCTTTTAAAGAGACAAAAACCCCAAAAGAGAAACCGCAAAACAAATCAAAAGACAAAAATCATGGCAGACAGGACACAGTATTCATCATCATCATAAACAGCATTATGGGAAACTTGACTATCCTTGCTGTTAAGGTAGAGGAGAACCACTAAAGGTAACACTGCTGACAGGATAATCCTCTCTCAGGCCTGCCGCAACAAGTTGTCTCCCATAGTAATTGCCTACCTTGCATTTCTTTTAAGCTGGTAGGAAAATTAAACTGCCCACCCCTAATTGAGGAATTACAGCTACTAGGAAAGCTAATGGCAATGAAAGCGAGGGCGAAAACATGCCCATTTCCCTATCCACCCCTCTAACACAGTCTTCACCCAAAGCCAAAAGAGCCAGGTGCTGTGATATATAGAGGAAAAGCAAACTGCTGGCAATATAAGCAAAGCAAAACTAAACTAAACGCTGCTCAGGTGCAGAGTTATTGCATTGGCTACATGGTGAGATTTATCTGCCACAATGAGCAATTAGTATGAATAAATGTTATGGCTGGGGAGCCAAAAGAGCCAGGGAATTTGAAATGAATCACCATAGCTCGTTCTTCTGGGTTCACATATCCGGGCCAAGGTTTTAAAACCAGGTGCCTAAGGGTAGGCTGCAGCAAAGAGCCAGAGCATGAGCCCACCCAGCACCTCCTACAGGAGGCAATGGACGCTGCGCTCCAGAAGCCTCAAATGCAGTTAGAAACACAACGCTAGGTGGACAAGTTTCAATTCTATGAATACGTTCAGTTTAGAGCTGCAGCACACAGCATGGAGCGTTATTCCAAACCCTGACGTGCTGAGAGGATGAAGAAACGTTTATGTTTCATTTTTCAGGTTTTGTGCCGCGTATCCAGACTTTGCTGAATCCCAAAATGTCCTAAAGTGAACTACTGAAAGAGAAAACTTGCAGGTTTCAACCTTCCGATAGCATTGGCACGTACGTGTTGCACTGCCTAACTTGCACAGGCCTCTAGGCAGTGTGAGGAGTAAGATCTAAGAGACCTGCGATATCTGCAAGCAAATTTGTTCAGAATTCTTGGAATAAGAAAGAAATGATATAGGTTTGCAATTTACACAGTTTCTAGTGCTTTACACAGGAAGAAGTATCAGCACGTGGGAGAATATGGCCACTCATTTTCAATTAGTTTTTAATTATTCAAACTATTCAGGATCTTGCAATTCTTTTAAGCTGGTGCTATCATCCCTTCAAAAAAACCATCCACAAAAGACCCTGAAGGACCTATTAAAGCCTGTTTCATAAACATATTCTATAACAAAGAAAGTAGGTGGAGTAATGTTTCTGATTGCTGTGGCTGAGGAAAAGCTCCGCCATCTACTGGAGCAGGAATCATGCACTACAATGTGTTACAATTAATGTCAATGTGTAAATGGCGTTACCAGAACCAGGCCAGACTGGGAGAAGGAGGAGTCAGACTGGGAGAAGGGCAACAGTGAAACAGCATGCAATTCCTCAGCAGCAAGCATTTGCAATAGACATGAAATAAGGAGATACTAAACAGTAGAATATGAGCATTACGACTTCAGATCCCAGACCATCAATGACGAAAGGAAAGTATGAGATGCTTTGTGAAAAACAATCAAAGATATTTCCATGTGTATGGTTTTGTTTCCTTTTAAAGGTATGCCCTAAAAATGACTTACTGCCAACAATCCATGACAACAATATTTCATTGGAATATACTGTGAAGCACAAAATAGGTACACTGCTTTTATGAATAAGTAACTCGGTTCATTATTTTATCTAATGGTAGTTGCAGGATTAAAAGAAGGGAGGGAAGCGAGCAATAAATACTGCTATTTGCAGAAAGAAACTGCTTACTTTCATGAGCAGGAAACAGACTTTTCTATTTTAAAAACATGGCTTTATTCTGGATTTCAATAGCCAGGGAAACATAATAGGAATTAGGGAACTGGTTTAGTTTCCAAAGAAGAACTACAGACAAAGCTTTCACTGCAATACCTGTGACAGTAATTAATTGGATAGTATCAAAGTGCACCTGCTTATCTGAGAAGCTTTGTATACGCCTCAGATACAAACAGGTTTAAGATACAAGATACAGAAAAGTCAACTCTTGTAGAGCAGATGGGTTCAGTCTATATCCCCTATATACGTGATATATACTTAGAAACTACTTCAACTAAAATAGTGCAGCTCACGTCCAGCAGTGACTTGTACAGGTAATAAAACTTCACAGAAGAACAATTCCTCTGTGCCAGTTAACGAGATTCTTGTAATTCATTAGACCCTTTCTTTCCCTTGCACCTTACGTAAACATCTCCAGGTTCAGTATCTCCAGAGGAACGTAACTCCTATAACGTTCTATAGATTAAAAATAAATTAATAAAATAAGCCTTACTAGTTGGAATAAATAAAGTATTTCTAATAATTCAAAAGAAATATCAGCCTTGGGTCATCTCATAATAATATTCATAATGTAGTGAAGAAGGCTGCAAACTGATGTTGTTTCTAGCGCTTATTTGACAATCTTACCAGTAGTATATGGATTAAAATAAAGCTTTTCCTGGGCACACTATCTCATCAACTCAAGAAGAAATGTCATAAGTCTAAGATATTCTGGACTAAGAATCTCACAGAGAAAGAAATCGGTTCCACTAAACTGAATCAAATCAAAACTGCAAACTTACTTTTCTCTTTTAATATACGTTAACTAAAATTTCTAAATGTCGTTCCAAACTGAAATACAAAATTCTTCATTGTCAAAATGTTAGAATTGGCAGGTTATACGACACACTTTTTCAAATCCAACAATTCACCCGACCTTTCCTAATGAATATCACTGTTTCTGAGGAATTTAGAGTTTTAATTTTAAAAGTTTCCCAGAAATTCTACACTCTCCCTTTTCTGAGCATCTTATTACGAACACGCACACGCACTCACGCTTTCCCAAGCGCTCAGCCCCGCAATGAGTACCTATCTTGCAATGATCACGTCCTTGTGTCAGTGTCACAGTAATTCCCCCTCTGCTCGCAACAGCGGCGGTCAACTCTGTAGGAGTGACGAACAAACAGTAAACACAATTACGTGCTTTAACATCCATGTTTTCTGCACCACGAACGGTGCATAGTCCTTGGTTCTTGGTCTGCCCTCTAAACATGTATTACTAAGAAACCTCAGTACATGGGGACGGTTTTTCGAAGCCCTTGGACAGCATCGCAGTAAAGCCTGAAGCCCAACGCCTGCACGTTCCTCCACGGCAGGACACCATGGCCAAGGAAGGCAGCTCTTCCCGCAGTGGCCCAGGGGAGCACTCGG